AAATCTTAAACTGCTATTTTTAAAAGTATAGTGCTATAAACTTGGATTACAAATAAATAAGAAATACACTCCTTCGAGGATCGAAGCAGGACAGATTTATGGTCTTGTTAATAAGTTGAAGTTACCAGATTTCTTGTAATTCTGTCATTTGTTTAGAAAGATGTAGGCCTGTATCCTTACTCTTCTTTCCATGTTCTTGCTCCGCAACCAAGGTTAAAGATATAGCCCTATAGTTCCGATTCAAATAACAATAACAGCGAAATGACAAATGTTGTTTTTTAAAGGTCTGAGAAGAACATGTACTGCTCGAGGTGGAGTTTATGTCTAAGAACAGAAACACTTGAAGGACGTGTCTTTCTCATTTCTTCTTGTTGCTTACCTGGATCTACGGATGTGAGACTGTATTTGTAACTTGCCTGACTTGTTTCGTTTATGTCATTTGCAAAGGCTAATGTAGGCCTATATCATCCATCTTCTTTGCATCGTCCTCCTCCTCAACCAAGGTTACAGCCAGAGCCCTAGAATCTTGAGTCCAGGCAAGAACGACAGCAAAAAAGGTCCTCTTCCTTGCATGGATGTAGGGATTGAGGACTGTGTTTGTAACCTGCCTGATATATTTGATTTAATCGTTTTCTAGGAGGAATGTTTTGCCTGTATCCTCCGGCTCCTCCATGCCTCGTCTTCCTCCTTGCCATGTTCTTTCTTCCTCCTCCTCACACATACACACACAATCTTGCCATGTTATCTCCTTACTCCTCCTCTTCCCTTCTCCTTCTGCTACTAGTCCAGCTTCTGACGTCTTACTCCTCCCTCCCCTTTCCTTCTCCTACTTGCCATCTTCTTCTTACTGCCATCTTCTCCTCCTTCGCACATTCCCCGCGCCTTCTCCCTCCCTTCCGTCCCACGTTCCATCCCATTCGCGTCCACACCTTCTCCCTCCTTTCCGTCCCGCGTTTCATCCCATATTCGACCCCGCCTTCTTCCCCCTGAGATTCTTCTTCCCCGAATCCCCCGCCCCTCGCCTTCCCCTGTTCCTTTCCCCTCACGTTCCCCCCGCGTTCCTCCGGTTCCTCCATGCCTCCTCTTGCTCCTTGCCATGTTCTTCCTTCCTCCTCCTCACACATTTACACACAACCTTGCCATGTCATCTTCTTCATCCTCCTCTTCCCCTCTCCTTCCCCCACTTCTCCAGCTCCTTACCATCTTGAAGTTCCTCCTCCTGCCATCTTCTCCTCCTCCTCCTGCTTGCCATCTTGTTCTTCCTGCCATTTTCTCCTCCTTCCCACATTCCCCGCACCTTCTCCCTCCCTTCCATCCCGCATTTCATCCCATCTTCGTCCCCGGCTTGTTCCCCGTGGGGCTCTTCTTCCCCGAATCCCCCGCCCCTCATCTTCCCCTCTTCCTTCCCGTCTTCCTTCCCTCTTCCTTCTCCCCAACCTTCCCCCCGTGTTCCCCCAACTTTCACCCTGCTTTTTTTCTTTTCTTTTTAATCAATCCACAATTCATTAACAATACGAAACAGATTCCGGGGACCTCACACTTCAACCCGGGGGTATCTGACAACATCAGCCAGCTGAGCTTACAGGTAGGAGACCTGCGGATACTCTTGCAAATGCAGAGTATAACAAATGAACTAACTATGCCTTTCAAAGCCACCAACCCAGTAACTGAGTCCGAACCTGAACTTCAAGCAACTTGATAACTGTTACTAATGCAACGCATGCCCCACGACCTCAGATTACAATACTACAGTGAGACTTCTCATATCCAATGGTAGAATAACTTAGTGAGAGACCTTCTCAGAACTAATCTGGGACTAACTCGGCCCAGAGGACTGACGTCCTGGTCCTACTGACACTCTCCTAATGGCCCACAGGGGCCCTAGCAAGGGCCAAGTATCCTGTTCCCACTAAGTCCCTACCAACTGACACACTCCTACCGGCCCACAACGGCCCTATCAGGGACTGAGTGTCCTGGTTCCTAGGCTTAGACAAGCCTGATGCTGTTACTACCTACAGTTCGTACATAAGACAGCCACTTCTCTTTTTTTTTTCTTTTTTTTTTTTTCTTTTGGAAAGTATTAACCATTTATTGCAAAACATTGAGTGGAAGCCTTTGTAGACTCTGATAGGGAGATAGGTGTTCGTAGGGGGTGGGTTATTGTCGTACTTTGTGAGAGTTGTTTGTTTGTTTTTTTTTTTTTTTTTTTTTTTTTTTTTTTTTTTTTTTTTGCTTGGGGGCCATGTTAATCTTTTTTTTTT